GGGCCCGGGTCCCTCCCTCTCCACTCCCCTCCTCTAGGGCACTAGTGGAGCAGTTAATACGCCGTTCAGGGGCAAGAAACAGTGCCCTGATCCGCGCCACCACCCCCCAAGAAGAGAAAGCACGGGACCCATCATAGTAATGCCTGCAATTTGCCACAATAAAAAATAACTTAGCACAGTTCAGCATTCACGTGCTCTGCATCCACACAGAGTCTTTGGAACTGTCCTCACATGAAGCTACTTTCAGGATTGGGATATTAGTTATTAAATACCAAGAAATTGCATTTCAAGAAACAACAAGATATACCTTGGAAATTAATTGCTGTATTAACTGTATTCATGTGCAGTATTAATTAACTGTATTCATGTGGCGTTTGTGATTTTAATAGTATTGTGATTTTAAAGTCTGAAAATGCAAAAGTAAAGGCTCTGACAACCGTACTATCCTCATTGTTGCCCATACCTCATTTTTATGAACATGTTATACTTATGTCATAAACCATGATATACTTTTACAGAAAAAAGAAAAATAGAAAATAGTGCAACTGAGGCAAGTTTTGCTGTTAGAACCATAAACTTTGCATTTTCTAACTTTTTGTGACTTAACTCTGCAACCCTAACGTTGCAGTGTTTTTGCATTTCATTTCCTTTTTCTTTTATAGAAATGAAATTAAAAGATCTTATTGAGCTTAGCAGGTTTTTCAGCTGAATGTGTAAATTCCTTGAAATAACTTGGTTTGCGCATCATTACATGGTAATGCATGCATTGCACTGAGCTCCTTTGCAAACTCAAACCAATCAAAACCTCTAGACCAGTTGCTTGCAACCTGTGATCTGTGGACCCTGGGGATCTGCATACTGTCTAAGATTTCCAAAGGGGTCTGCATCTCCACTTGAAATTTTTTAGGGATCCACAAATGAAAAAAGGTTGAAAACCACTGTTCCATTCAAGTGTCAGTTGTTTTTGCTGTAGCCCTGTTAAGCAAGGTAAGAATGCTTTTTACTGTGGCGAAAATGTTCATAGTTCTCCCACAACGTGAACTGGAGGTGAATTGGAAAACCCTTTCCAAATTCACCTCAGGGCACAAACCAAGCAAGGAAAATGTCCAACTCTTAAAAGGTGACTATTTCAGAAAGTTGTGGACATGTGAAAAGTAGATGTGCATGGAAACTGTATTGTAAGTTTATCCTTAGTAGCCACTAGGATGGTAGTGTGCTATAACAACCATGGAGCATTCAGAATATAATGTAACTAGTGGAGATGCCTTATGCATTTGAGGTATGCATATGATAGAAATTACCATTGTTATCATGACACTCAGGCCATCAGTCAAATCTAAGACTTTATTGAAGAACGAAGTTAAATTTTCAAAAGTGATTTAAGTTCCTAGACCCACATCCTCAAAGGTATTTATGCTCCTTACTGCCTTTGAAATCAATGGTAGTTTAACACCTAAATACCCTTGAGGATCTACGGCCTTAGTCTCTTCTGCAAATGGAATTTAAGTGCTTCTGAAAATCTTACTTCTAGGAAAAATGACCCTTCCATTTACATGACCTTCAGCTCCTAACATGCTAGGAGGAATGTGTGTCTTGTTCATACAGGGAGAGTGCTCAAATTATAGTCTAAATGACTGAGATCAGTATTTCAATCTGCTGTTCCATCACCGTGAGCATTACTATAGGTCCTTTTCAGGGCTATCGATTAATCTCAGTTCACTCACACGTTTAACTGAAAAAAATGAATTGCGATTAAAAAAATTAATCACGATTAATCGCACTGTTAAACAATAGAACACCAATTGGAATTTATTAAATATTGTGGATGTTTTTCTACATTTTCAAATATATTGATTTCTTTTACAACACAGAATACAAAGTGTACAGGGCTCAGTTTATATTATTTTTTATTACAAATATTTGCTCTGTAAAAATGATAAAAGAAATAGTATTTTTCAATTCACCTCATACAAGTACTGTGCAGCAATCTCTTTATCTTGAAAGTGTAATTTACAAATGTAGATTTTTTTTGTTACATAACTGCACTCAAAAATAAAACAATGTAAAACTTTAGAGCCTACAAGTTCACTCAGTCCTACTTCTTGTTCAGCCAATCGCTAAGACAAACAAGTTTGTTTACATTTATGGGAGATAATGCTGCCTGCTTCTTATTTACAGTGTCACCAGAAAGTGAGAACAGGCATTCGCATGGAACTTTTGTAGCTGTCGTTACAAGGTATTTACGTGCCAGATATGCTAAACATTTGTATGCCTCTTCATGCTTCAGCCATCATTCCAGAGGACATGCTTCCATGCTGATGATGCTTGTTTAAAAAAAATGCTTTAATTACATTTGTGATTGAACTCCTTGGGGGAGAATTGTATGTCTCCTGTTCTGTTTTACCTGCATTCTGCCATATATTTCATGTTATAGCAGTCTCGGATGATGACCCAGCACATGTTCGTTTTAAGACCACTTTCACAGCAGATTTGACAAAACACAAAGAAGGCACCAACATGAGATTTCTAAAAATAGCTACAACACTCGATCCAAGGTTTAAGAATCTGCAGTGCCTTCCAAAATCTGAGGGGGATGAGGTTTGGAGCATGTTTTCAGAAGTCTTAAAAGACAACACTCCAACGCAGAAACTACAGAATCCAAACCACCAAAAAAGAAAATCAGCCTTCTGCTGGTGGCATCTGACTAATGATGATGAAAATGAACATGTGTCGGTCCTCTCTGCTTTGGATCGTTATCGAGCAGAACTCGTCATCAGCATGGATGCATGTCCTCTGGAATGGTGGTTGAAGCATGAAAGGACATATGAATCTTTAGCACATCTGGCACGTAAATATCTTGCGACGCTGTCTACAACAGTGCCATGCGAATGCCTGTTTTCACTTTCAATTGACATTGTAAACAAGAAGCAGGCAGCATTATCTCCTGCAAATTGTAACCAAACTTGTTTGAGCAATTGGCTGAACAAGAAGTAGGACTGAGTAGACTTGTAGGCTCTAAAGCTTTACATTGTTTTATTTTTGAATGCAGTTATTTTTTGTACATAATTCTACATCTGTAAGTTCAACTTTCATGATAAAGAGATTGCTCTACAGTACTTGTATTAGGTGAATTGAAAAATATTATTTCTTTTGTTTTTTACAGTGCAAATATTTGTAATTAAAAATAAATATAAAGTGAGCACTGTATACTTTGTATTCCATGTTGTAATTTAAATCAATATATTTGAAAATGTAGAAAACATCCAAAAATATTTAAATAAATGGTATTCTATTATTGTTTAATAGCGCAATTAATCACGCGATTAACTTTTTTAATCGCTTTACAGCCCTAGTCCTTTTGTATTGTTTTATGGGCTGAAATGAGGGCATGAAATGATGAGATATGCTGCAACTTCCTCTGAAATACGATATTTATCCTTTAATGGAGGGTTAAATAAACAACGTCAATTTTGTTCCACTGTAAACCTATCCAGCACTTCTCTTAGAACGCAGTTACCCATATTTGTGTTCCTCAATCATAGCACCCGTATGTGGATAGTTTTAGGAGAGCAGAAACCAGATACAAAACCTTTCTGCTCTGTCGCAGGCTCAAATCCCGCCAAAGTCAATAATGAACTGAATAAAGTCTTAGCTGTGTGTTGGGTGTCTGGTCTGTGTGGTCTGGGGGTTGTGTCCTAGGGAACAGGGGTCCTTGTCAAAATTTTTTGTCACAATTGGCACTTCTTGCCAAGGCTGCCAAGAAAGTTAAGAACTAACTGGGCTATGGGGATTTCTCTCCTCCTTCCCTAGAGATGGTTGCTGGTCATCAGAATTGAAGAACGTTATTGGCTCAGTGTGGGAAAGCTTTCACAGCTGTTGCCTGTGCTGTACGTATTTGTAGATAAACGGGGGATCTCAGCTGCTAGAGCTGCCAAATGACACCTTTCCGATATTAGCCCTGTGTATCATTTAATCACGCGGGGGAGTCCAGCTAGTTTGGCTTTCCCTTAATTTTATAGAATAAGCCTGATTCCTGCATGCCTAATTACTTTCTTGTAAACTGGCCAACCTTTTAGGCTAAGTTTAAATTCAAATGTATACATTTTTTAACACACTTAACTCAAAACCAGCTGAATTTTTAAAACCTCCCATGTGCTGGCTCTGTGCTTGGTGTTGTGTGCTCACGCAATAATTTATGGTATTCTGTATTAATGTGAAAAACTTCAGTTTTTCTCCTGTAGACTTAGTTGCACATCTGTAGCACATTGTATGGAGAGGTATGTTAACAATCTTGTGCCGAGCCCTGTTCCTTACTGTAATTCCTGTCTGATGTAGCACCTTCCCGGTGTGCAGGGATCATGCCAGTGAAAGAATGTATTGTGCTAGAGCTGTGCAGGGGGGTGGGTTCAAAGTGTCACCACGCTAGGACAAGGAAATCCAGCCGGAGTGTTGATTTCATTGTGTGTTCTCATTTAATACAGGCAGGTGTGTAGGTACCCAAGTGTGTGATATAACAATGCTAAATGGATTTGCCGGATGTGCCAAGGGGGATGAAAAATAAATTGTATTCACAGCTGCAGTGCTGTAAAATATGTCTCATATATGGAACTTGAATTGTTAGAGCAGTTGTAGAGTTCAAGCAGGTAGAAGCTCCATATCACATGCATTCATTAATTAAACTATGTGAGCTGCCTTGGAGGGGAAGAGGTATTTTACAGATGAGTGGATCAGTGGCAGAGCTGGGAAGAAACTCAGTCTCCTGAATAGAGATGGGAAATAGACACTAAACTAGAGAGAGAGAAAAGCTCTCCATCTGGGATTTCAGGAGCACATTTGGAATCTAGTGGACAACAAGGATGGGAGTCTGTCTCCACTACCTCAAGTCCCACCGCAGATGCTTCCCCCTACTGCATTGTTTTCAGGACAGCTCTCCTTGAACCTCACCCACACCATTTCTGCCCTGCACAGCAACAACTTTGCTGATTTCCCTTTCCCTGCAGTTTTTCACAAAGTATGGTCCTGATTACGTGCTGGAGATCACACCGAGCTGCAGGCCAGACCGCAACGAGCCACACAAAGTCCAAGAAATCCTCAGCATCATCAAAGGTGAGCTTCCCCAACCTCCTGCCACCTTACTGCCCTGGGAGACCGACTGCTGGCTGTTGGGAAATCCAAAAATAATACATTAAGGAGGAGAATATTTCTCTTGGTATCTTTATGGCCCTGGCTACGAAGCTGTACTCCATGTGCTTGGCAAGTCATAATATACAATGACATCCATCTTCTGCCCAGTGTTGGATATGGTAACGGGTTGGTTGTGAAGTGCAAATGTTTCTATAGGCATGACCACTGCACTGTGGTCTCTGGCCCGTGGAATTCTATAAAAGGCAGTCCACAGCTGTTGTCCTCTTCATTTCGGAAGGGCAGCCTGCAGAGACCCCAGGGCCTTGTGGTTGTTTATTTTTCGTTGTTTAAACCTGTCTGTACAGCAGCCACAGACAGTAAAGCAAGCACAGAATTTGTTAACAACAGAGCAATAGGCTCATGTGTCCACTAAAGCTAAATCTCTGACACCAGCCAAGAGAATTGAGTTTATACCATGCCCCAAAGGTCAACAGATCTGGGCTCTGCTGGAACAACAGGGGACGTGCCCGCAGCCGAGGACCTCTTAACTCCCCACTCCTGCACACACACCTCAAGATTCCCAATTCTAGGGACATTTACTGAGCACGCTTCAGCTGCTCTGAACTGTCTAGTGGCGCATGGGGAACAGCGGGTCTGGCCCAGCTGCTTAGATCAGGATAGAGCGTTCCATGCTGCCACCCATGGTCTGACTTGTCTTCATTTCTGTATTGAATGGGACGGTGTCTATAAAATGCCCAATGCTCCACCAACCGATTTCAGACATCGGGTTATTGGTACACTGCCGAATGCAACCTTCAGTTGCACCAGTTTGGGTGCCCAATTTTAGTCATTAATTCCATTAACCTGCCTCTGGCACCATCTCAGGCTTGCACTACTCTCTTTCCTTCCCCCCTCCCTACAGACACACACGCCTGGCTCAGACACACACCCTCCTTTAGGAATATTTTAACTTAAAATTTAGCTTTGTGCCAGGTGCTGTATCAAGAGCCCTGGCGACTGCACTCCATCCTGTATCCCCAGAACTGACCAGCACAGGCAGCAGCAGATTCTCCCTCACCCTCTTAGTACCATGCTTTACGCTGACGTGGAAGGGTGATCTCTAGAGGTGAGAGGGAAGATTGCTCTTCATGGCCCATTCATTCCTTGGCCTCTCTGGAGTCCGATGACAAGGAGGCCAGTGAGTGCCATGTGCAATGGAGGTGCCTTGAGTTTGTCCATTGGGAACTACATTGAGAACCCGAATTCATTTCTTGTAAACCACCAAATAGCCACCCAAGGTTGGAAAGCTCCTAGCCCAGTTCCAGTCCCAATTCACTGAACTCTCCAGTGCCTTCTACTCTGTGAAAAGATGAGACTGAATCTAACTAGTTTGCAACCCATCTGTAAAGCCACTGTGTCTTGGAGTGGGGTTACCTGGCCCCAGCAGCATTCATGTATATTCTTAGAACGGGTCACAGCTGCTGGACCAGCCAGTTTCCAAAGGTGGAGGAGCTAGCATTATATCAGGATACCCCTATTAGTGTAAATTACATATTTTAGTCCAGATGTGCTCCCATCCTGCATCACAAGCGCTTGAGCAAAGTTTTGTAATTACTTAAATGCAGATTAGGGCTCTTTCTTCAAGTCCCACATTCCATTGCCATTCTGAACTAGATAGAAGTCGAGTTATAAAAGACACTCCCAGCTCTGTGTAGGGAGAAAATTAGGATTTCCTTTATATTTTAAAAAAGGTGTTGTGACTTGGTACATGGTTTCTTATATAATTGGTTTAAACATACTCTTAAAATGTACCCTTCTGCCATGCTGTATGCACCGCAGGACCTGTGCTGCAGGGAAACTGAAACTGACCAATTTCATTTTACTGCATGAACCATAAGTGGATTGCAGAAATATCACCAAAAGCAGTACCGGGGAAAAGTGAATTTGACCTTAGTGTTCAGTTTTAACAATCTTATGTAGAGGTAGAATCACTGTAGAAAAGATTTGTGTCACATCAGTGTCCATTTAAAATGCCTGGTATCATCTGGATCAGTGAAAATACAAATCAGAAGGTGTGTGCTGGACTGCACAACACAAATGCCCATTAACTGGCCTATGAGAAAACAGTGGGTGTTTGATTATTGGATTAGTGCTGATGCTGTTTTGTAAGAAAGGGACTTCTGAAAAGTATAAAATTTTATGTTCTCTTGTGAACATGCACAGTGCTACGAGTCATTCATGCTAGGGAGATAAATGAGGCTCCATACAGAAATACATGGTAGGTCACAGGAGTTGAGAGGACTATATATGATATAAATTTGGGGAACAGATTATTTTGCATCATGTATTCTGTTCAATAATGTACCCTTCCCCCCATAAATGTGATTAGAGTCTTACGTTAGAAATGTCTCGGCATTCTGGAGACCTGTACAAACTTGTGGTTTATGATTACCATCTTGGATTTACAACCACTTCTAAACAGTTGTGGGGAAGGAAGGAAGAACTTGTGCCTCTGTACTGTACATGATAAATCATTCAAAATGTATGCAAAAGGCAAGGGGCCTTTGTGGAAGATCCAGATGAACATTCTTAATAGGAACCATGTGCCCAGAGTACCAATTGCCCAACTGAACTCAGATCCCTGTCTCATATGCACTCTAAATTAAACCCTGCTTTTATTGAAATCACACGAGAGAAAGGACTGCTGCTTCTAGCATGAGTTGTAAATTGGTGGTTTATGCTTCAATGTATTTGTTTAGAATAACTTTTTCAGTTAAAAGAGGATTGAAAACTAAGGATGATAGAGAACAGTGGGGCCATGTGGTACGATCATATTGCTAACTGGATTATAAGAGCGTTCGGGGGTTGGATTCTAGTCACCTAGCTGTAATCATCTTCCAAACACACACAGGCATCTCTGCTAACAGAAGGGAGCCCCTAATGAGGAGAGATGGAGGGTCAGGCTAGTTATACTGCAAACAGAAAAAGTGTGTATACACACAGCCTGTGTCTATCTAGTCTCAGGGTTTTCTATACCGCCCGTTACCCGAGGAAGAAAGGGGAGAAGTCCCTTAGCTCGCTACCTACTTGTCCAGGGTTAACTTAGCAGCAGTTAAGAATGGAAGGCAGATGGATGGGTTTCAACTATTTCTTTAGGATGTTTTCCCTTCCCAGCCTGAGCTCGGTTTGAGTCAGCTGCTCTCCTGGTGCTGATTTCTTGAAGGTGCTGGGACATCCTTGTGGTGGTGCTGGTTGCATTTTACAAAACCAAATGTCCAGCTGAATATCAATATCGTGGGGAAAGATAGCTCAGTGGTTTGAGCATTGGCCTGCTAAACCCAGAGTTGTGAGTTCAATACCTGAGGGGGCCATTTAGGTTGGATGTTAGGAAAAACTTTTAGGGGGAGGGATAGCTCAGTGGTTTGAGCGTTGGCCTGCTAAACCCAGGGTTGTGAGTTCAATCCTTGAGGGGGCCATTTAGGGATCTGGGGCAAAAATTGGGGATTGGTCCTGCTTTGAGCGGGGGGTTGGACTAGATGACCTCCTGAGGTCCCTTCCAACCCTGATATTCTATGATTCTATGATATATTGCTGGCAGCAGAGCCCAGGGTGTCTTGGCATCTGTCCAAGTGGTCCCATGTAATACTGAAGAGGAGGGTATGCAGGACATATCCCTAAAGACGCTCTTGGGAAATGGAAAATAAAATACGATATCCTGGGAAGACAATGAGTGAATGCATTGTGGGGGGCAGATCCAAAGCACAGATATTCTATGGGAGGGAGATTCAGGGCATGGGAAAGCAGCAATAATTAGGCAAATTAGTGGAAAGCAGTTGAGACAGAGCTTGGAATGCAATATAGCAGCAAAAAAGCCAAAGCTTTGCTGGGCTGCATACATAAGGTTGCCTCAACAAGCAAGAATCTAGTTAACCCATCAGTATAGGGCCCTATTTAGATCAACCTACAGTAGGGCATAAGCTGTTGGGCACCTCGCTCTCAGAAAAATGAGAAAGGAGCTAGAGAGTTTGGTTATGAGGAAGCAATACAAGAAACAAATATGTATAGCAAAGCGACAGCCAGTTGGCGCTAGAAACGTACAGGTGCATGAAGGGTGGAAAGCAGCAGGGAGAGGAGTTATATAAGGTGGTGCAGGAGCTTAACCGGGAGCAACAGGGTGAAAACAAGGGAGAGGAAGTGGTGAGATCTACCACTGGCTAGGGAATTTTCTCCATCCCTTGGGTCACTTAAAACGAGCCTGACCGACGCCCTGGAGAACACACTGTAGGGAGCAATCCTGCCCCGGCTAGTAGCTGAAGACAGGATGAGTTACTATATACGCCTCCCCTCAGGCCTGCTGTTCTTGGAGGGGAACTTCCTCCTCGTCTAGCTTGATGGCAGGAATCTGAGTTGCCATATTGGAGCTCTGTGCTCAGCAGCAGCACTGCAGCATGTGTCCCCCACAACACATGTTGCACAGCCAGTGTGCTTAGTTTTGGGAGCAGAAGGAAGAGAGGGGGCTGCTACACTGATCCCTGCAGGCAGATAGGTGAAACGTGTTTCTATAGGCTCGATGTTCTAGCCCATCTGTAAAGTGGGAATTAGTGTTTTCTCACCTCTGTAAAGCCCTGGAGACCTGCGACTGAACATGCCGTGTAATGCTAAGTACTCGTCTTCCAATGGACTCTGCATGTTTCTACCCTCGGGATCTGCTAATGGTGCAGTGTGGACCAGTGGAATCTTTTCAAAATGGTGCCTGTCAGAGTGCTCCTCTGTTCCGGACTGTTCTGAGGGTAAAGCTACAAAAGGCGGTGCTATGTTCCGGCCACCTCAGTTCCCTCCAGCCACAATAGCAGACAGACCAGGAGCCTCGCCAGAGCTCTGTGACCCAGATTTGTCAGAACAGATGATTCCCAGTGCCACTTTAGCTAGCTTTTACGCTGATGGATCAGTTCTGCGACTTCAGCCTCATGCCTCGGAACCCA